AAAAATAATGTTAACAGAAAAGTCTACCAGGGAAATCTTTCTTCGTCTCCCTGATACCCTTTCCTAGTTTCTCCCACAGATTACACATTTCTGTTAGAAGTTAGGTCGACAAAAGACCTGCACTTGATACTGGGCCTATTTACCCTCTGTCAGATCAACTGTAGGAGGGAATTCCAGAGCTGAGGGCATGATCCAAATTCTCAGTTTTCTTCTTTATTCATCCTTCAACATGCTGGCACTGCCAAGAAGTCCTGTCTTGTTTAATCAATGCTGCATGGGTCATGGAGTTTAGGAGGAACCTTAGGTATTAAAGGTATAAATCTTTAAAGGTTTATGCAATTAAAATCCCACCCATAAAACTTTTCTAAATAACTTATTTGAAAACAAAATTGGCCAGTATAGGTTATATTATGAATATTACATAGACTGACCATGTCTTAGCTCCAACTGTTATACCAAGATATTGGGGGTGTTAACAGACAGTTCTCTTTCACAGTTCTGGAGGCTGGGAGGTCCATAATTAAGGTGCTGGCTGATATGGTTTGTGGTAAGGGTCCCCTCTTTCTGGCTTATAGACGGTTACATTCTTGCTGTATTTGCATCGTATCACTCAGCACTCTTTGCACACTGATGGAGAGAGATTTCATTCTTGCTCCTCTTATAAGCACATTCACGCCACCCTAGGGGCCCCATGACCTCACTTAACCTTATCACTTCCCAAAGGCCCATCTGCACACCACCACACTAGAAGTTAGGGTGTCAACACATGAATTTGAAGAGACACAAACATGCACCCCTTAAAAAACCCTAGAAAAGATACCAAGCTTTCCATGATATTTCATATTCCATGCCACAAGTGCCGGACCTAAAGTCTGCCAAAACCTAGGTGACATAGGGCAATTGTACATCTGTTAATGAAAAAAAAAAAAACTTTTGAAACTCAATATTTGAATACTCAAAAAACACATTGAGTGTTTTTTTGCACTAAAGTCAGGATGATTCTATGTGGAAATTTTTAATTGGTAAAATCTTACTTCATAAATGTAGGTGCAGTTCTTGCCCTTAGAAAAACTCATCTTAAAAATAAACCAGATTTTCTCTAGTTGCCACTTTGATCCCATTTAAAGCACTTGAGAGAAATTCTTAGGCCTATTGTCTCCAGTTCCTGTTCTCCCATTCTCTTTTAAACCCATTCCTTCAATATCTCGTCCCTCTCCTCCACTGAAACAGTCCTAGGGAAGATGGACAACTTCTGGTGCCTTCTCTTTGCTAAATCTGATAATGAGCTCTCACATCTCATCTCAACTGATTTAGCAGCATTTGAAACAAATGGTCTCCCCCTTTTTCTTTCTTTTTTTTTTCTTTGGAGGGATGGGTACTGGGAATTGAATTTCAGGGGCACTCCGCCACTGAACCACATCCCCAATCTTATTTTGTATTTTATTTAGAGCCAGAGTCTCACTGAGTTGCTTAGCGCCTTGCTTTTGCGGAGGCTGGCTTTGAACTCATGATCCTCCTGCCTCAGCTTCCCAAGCAGCTGGGATTATAGGCATGCGCCACTGTGCCCAGCTTCCCCCTTTTCCTTGACACAGGTTTTGCACTTGACCTCCCATGTCTTCACTCTCTTGGTTGTCCCCATCACTTATTAGCCTTCTTTGCTCAGTCTCCTCCCTGACATCTCAATGCCCTGAAGGGAGTCTGTAGACCCATTCCCCTCCTTGTCTGTAATCCTTTCCTGTGTGATTTTTTTTCTGATTCACTCACTCTGGGCATACCATCAACCTGCCCTCAACTCCCACCTGTGTATTTCCAATCTGGACCTCTCTACTGAAATCCAGGATTATATTCTCAGCAGGGCACTCTGTCATTTCAATATGGATATTTAAGACACCTCGATTTTAATATGTCTAAAATGGAATTCCAAGTTCCCCCCAAATCTGGTTCACCTATAGTCTTCCTCCCCTTCGTAAACAGAAATTTCATCTGACCATTTAGTAAAGACAACCAAACTTGGAGTCATCCTTGGTTCTTCAGGTTCTCTTACATGACATATGTGATTTTTCAGAAAATTCTTTGGGGTCTTCCTTGGTAATCTATCCTCCAGGGTCATAGTGTAACACATCCAGTAACACCTCTAATGTATCTCCCGGTCCAATCTTCTGTGATTTCCTCCTTGGGTGGTTGCAAAGTCTCCTAACCAAGTTGTTTGCTTCAGTTGCTGGCACTTAATAGCTATCTCACAGCAGCCAAAACTTACGTTCTGAAAATGTGTTAGCGTACTGTGCCATCGCCCCATGGCCAGAGCCCTCCCATGATTCCATTTTGAGAGACTGAATGTGCAGAGAAGGCCATACCACATATGAAAATTCAGCTCTACCCAGGACCTACAGAAGCCAAACCACAACCTCTATACCAATCAGACCAAGATCATCAGGACTTGACCTGATACCTTCCCTAATTCTTTTCCTTATTTCCAACTATAGACCAACCAGAGAAACCCAAATATGCAGCCCTTCACAATCCCATAGGACACCCTAATTAGTTAGCTTGCTACATCTTTCCTGCCCCACAGCCTGTAACCAGGGCTCACGGGAGATTCCCTTTCCCCTACTAAGCTTTCTCGCTTCTTTGTCTGCCTTTGGCTCTCTGTCTAAACACAAGTAAAGGTGGTGGGCTCCATCGTTATCTCAAGCTCTAAATAAACAGCATCTCTTTGCTCTCATAACTTTATTTCCACTCTTATTCACCATAAAAACCAAGGTCCTTCTAATATTCCTGAAGGCTACCTGTGATCCATCCACCATCCACCCTGTCACCTTCTCTCTGGTCCTAGGTCTTAATCCTGCCTTCCTCAATTAGCTCTGGCTGCTTGGCCTCGTGGCTGTTCCTTGTACACACTTGGCACAACATGGCCGGAAATCCTTTTCACATATTCATTCCTTTTGCCTGGAATTGTCATCTCTACAGTGTTCTCTCAAAATGGAACCATGGGAGGGCTCAGTTCATGGGGTGGTGGCACTGTACACTGACATATTTTCAGAACATTAGGGCATCTCATCACTACCTTCCAACTGCAGCTCTAATGTGACTCTATCAGAAACACCTCCTGTGACGTCTGTGTATCCTAGAACCCTCCACCCCCACAAGCCCAGCCCCAGCATGCCCTGCTACTGGGGAGCACATTTTAGTTTACTATATCATATCCTGATGTGATGTCTTTTATATATTTTTTTTCTTCCTCTCCCCATCCCCCAACTAGAATGGAAACTCCAGGAGGGCATGGTTTTTGTTTACTTTCATAGCTGCTTTGCGTAGTACAATTCCTGTTGAGTTGGGGTCACTCCATCAATATTTGGTGAATAAAAAAATTAGTTATTATATCTTATATTCAGATTTTTTTAAATATAAGCAATTTAAAAATTAGTGTGTCAGAGTCCCAGGAGAAAATAAATGACAAGCTCAAATCGAATTTAATAGAATTTAATAAAATTTAATTTAATAGAATTTAGCCTTGTGACTCTTTTACCAAGGTAAAGAAAAGGATCTTTAGAAGCCCAGACATAGCAGAGTGCCCCAAGATGAGTGAGGGTTACTGCTCTCACCTATGGGCCAGAGGAGCACACAGCCAGCTCTGGAAACCTGAGGTGGGCAGGGATAAATGCTGAAACTCACTAGGCTCTCACCCTCCAAGGCCACTCCTGTGTCCCCCTTTGGCTGACCCACCTGGAAGCTAGAAGTTGAAAAATGAACCATCATACATTTCATATATTTTCTAGGGTCTGGGAACAGGGTGCAAGGCTTGTTTCCACCATCCTTTATAACCATCCACCAAAGTGGGGGTGATGACTTTAAAAATAGTAACAAGGGCTGGGGATGTGGCTCAAGCGGTAGCACGCTCGCCTGGCATGCGTGCGGCCCGGGTTCAATCCTCAGCACCACATGCCAACAAAGATGTTGTGTCCGCCGAAAACTAAAAATTAAATATTAAAATTCTCTCTCTCTCTTTAAAAAAATAGTAACAAAACATCTTGTGTGTGTGTGTATGGATATGAGACTTTCAGGGAAACACTCTCCCAATTAAATACAGGGTGCCCGTTTGGGATTTATGGTGTCAAATTATTGAACTCAATGGTTTTATAATTTTACATAGTAACTGGGTTTTTTTAACAATTTTAATTAATTATGTTATTTTTATTATTTAATGTACCTTTTAATTATGTTAAAAGTGAATTGTTGAAACTTATAATAGTACATAAATCTAATTTATATACCACAGGCTATGGTTATCCTGCTGGGAAAGGATACTGCAGAAACATTCCCTGCAACTGATGGATTTATGATAAATAGATTTATTTCCTTTAGAAACTGTTATGTTTAAAAGTGTCAAACAGGGTATTATTATATTTTAAACATGAATCATCCAAAAGGACCACTCTAAGAGTGAAAAGAATTAGAGCAGACATTACAAGAGCTGAGTTCTAATCCTGATTCCACCAGGGAGAGTCTTGGCAAGTAGTTTCAACCGTGCAAGCCTAGATTCTCCCCGCCACCGGCCCCATAAGGTTTGAGGAAATGACTGAGGTCACAAACCTCTCAGATTATACCTCTCCAGGGGAAGGGGTGACTCTCTGCTGAGAGAATAAATTTGGATTTAAAGGAACTCTGTCAGCAGCACTTACTAATTGAGAAATGGACAATACACTGGAGATAAAAATCATGTTGGGTTCTGTGTAGATTTAAAACATCACTGGCCCACAGCCTGCATTCATTTTTCCCCCTCCTCTCTTTAACCCTCACACTATTACTCTAAATACTTCTGGGAAAGCAGTAGATTTTCTTTTTTGGCACTGGAGGTTTAACCCAGGAGTACATTAAAACTGAGCTATATTCTAAATACCCGAAAGGAAAAAAAGAATTAATCACTAGAGAAATTTTAATTTCACAGGAAATTAAAGCTCAAGCAAAATAATCATAGCACCCTGATTGTGTTTTCTCTTCAGAATCAACTGTGTTCATTCCCCAGTCGGAATACTCCATTGAAGAAGATGTGGGCGAGCTGTTCATTCCCATCAGGAGGACAGGAGACGTCAGCCAGGAGTTCATGGTGATCTGTTACACACAGCAAGGTAGAAACTAAACTGAAATAGAACCAAACCATGTAAATAAACCTCTTTAACATGGTGGAGCCATGACATTTTGCCATGAAGGGTTCGAAGTTTTTATAATCACAAAAAAAGCATTGACTCAGAAGTTGTCTTCCATGTCACACCTCTGAGGATGCCCCGGAGAGCATCTGCTACTTACCGCAGATGTTTCTGACTCCACATGGTCACTTACTGTAATTCTCAAGGCTTTTCAGATGACAAGAAACTGACGCCCATTCAAGCTCTTCAGGTTGAGGGGAGTTATTGCTTAAAACAAACAAACAAAAAGAAAAAAGCAGCAATGTATATCCAAGGAAAATAAACTAACTTAAAACCAGTGTGAAACTCATTTTAACCAGTTTCAAAATACTTGTTTTGCTCTTGGACAAGCACCCTATGAAAGGTGATTTATGTCTTGCAAAATTAAAACGAATACATAATATTCTTTAACATACTAGATGCCTTCTGGGAAAGCAGTAGATTTTCTTTTTTGGCACTGGGGATTTAAACCAGAAGTACTTTAAAACTGAGCTACATTCCTAATCCTTTTTATTTTGAGACAACTGTTGAGGCTGAAATTTACAATCCTCCTGTTTTGGCCTCCTACATTCTTGGGATTATAGGCGTGAGGCACTGAGCCCAGCAAAGCAGACAGTTTTCTAAGAATGCAAAAGAAAAAGTCACATGTGCATTGATACCTGAGCAGAGTTCCATTAAAATTTTTATTTCTGTATATGAATTTGAAGGCAGTATAGAATAATGATGAAAATAGTCTTCAGAATAAGCTCTGGGCTGTGAGCTCCAGAGTAAGTGGTTTAATGTCTGTAAACTTCAGTTACCAAATGTGTAAAACCCAAAATGATAGTTGAGAGGATTAATAGATGTCAAGCATTTGAATAGAGGGACTATTATTTTATAATAGCGTGTTGATCTAAAAGTACATGGACAGGAAAGACAAAGAGAAAACACTGGAGATGTATAGGTTTGAGGTCACCCTAAAGTTCACTCATGATAGTAGAACAGTCTACAGTTGCTATTGCAATTCTGGGGGTGTTGTATATGCTAATGACTTTTAAATGACTGCATATACTGCATATGAAACAGTGGTTTCTGGAAATACCCTGTAACATGTTCTACATAAAACCTCTTGGATTCTCCCCTCCTCCAGGAACAGCGACCGGAACTGTGCCAACTTCCGTGTTGTCTTATTCGGATTACATATCCAGGCCCGAGGACCATACCAGTGTTATTCGCTTTGACAAAGATGAAAGGGAGAAAATGTGTCGGATAGTTGTGATTGATGACTCCTTATATGAAGAAGAGGAAACGTTCCGTGTCCTTTTGAGCATGCCCATGGGTGGGAGAATTGGATCAGAGTTCCCAGGAGCTCAGGTTACAATCCTCCCCGACAGAGATGATGGTAAGTTCTCATTTACCTGCAAATATCAAGCACAACTTCCTAGACAGAAGCATGGAAATCTAAAGCAATCAAAGCCTGCACATTTATTTTATGCTTGATTCTAATAACGTGAATAAGATTTAGTGGTGTGGATTGGTTGCCTCAACCAAAGCCTCATTCTTGACTTAATGTTTTTAAAGGGCTGAACAACCTGTATGGTAGTTTTGTTATTGTTGTTTGAATTTTTTGGTTTTTGTGGGTTGTTTGTTTATTTGGCCCCCATAGAGTTTCTTTGATAATACCATTTACCTTTAGGTGATATTACACTTTTAAAATTTCATGGTGAAGAACTGAAGTCGTTTTAATGAACCCAACTTATTTCACTTTGTTTTGCTTGGCTTTTAAAGCTTGTTTTTTTTTTTTTTTTTTTGTAACTTTAATCTTCTCAGTGTTCAAGCCCCTTTTTCAGAGAAACCCATCAGATAAGGCTGTTCAATGAATAACTAGAAAGGTAATGAATATATGGTAAATTAAGTTCCAACAGGCAGTTCCCTGACCCCGAAGATGAAGAAAGGTGGACACACTAGGCCACTCTTTGCTGGGAAACTAGCTTACCAGGAAGTCAGACCTTCTAAAAAGTAAAGGAGGTCTTAATCCTCCCAATTGGAGAAATAGTTTGTACTTTCTTGTCAGGAAAGAGAATAAGAGCAAAGATTATAAACAATCTTATAATGAAAGCAAAGAGCAGTGAACAGAGAGAGCAGATGGCCCTGCCCCACCTGGCACTGGACATTTTTCTCATGGGAGCTGAAAGACAAGAAGGAGGAGTCTTTCCACTGGGAGGAGAGTCAAAAGACTTTACTCACAAATCATCTTTAAACCCAGCAAATTGAAAATAATCCACCAGGAATGGTCTCTGCTAGTTAAGAGAAAGGAGAATGTGAGAGGCAGAGGTGGACAGGGGTCAGTGCTGGATTCTTTGTGCTATCTTGTGCTTTATTTCCCTGTGAGAATAATGTCCTTTACTGAAAAGGCTTAAAAATCCTGATGATAAAATTAGGAATGATTTTATTAGAAGAAGATGGAAGAAAGCCTTGATTCTACCCCTGCATATGGATAAGCTCCTTATCCATAGATAATAAACTGTATGGATAATATTTTTAAATGTTGCTTTAGTGTATTAGTTTAATAAGAAGTTCCATTCTGAATTTGAATAAAGTGTAAGAATTTTATTTCAAATGGAATCAATATTAGAGAAGGCACCAATGTATTGAATGTCAGTCTAAACAGATCTAAGGATTCACACTAAAAGACTACCTACTGCCCAGAGAGTTCTGTACCTATTGATAATCTGTATGGACAGGAAGAATTAGGTTTAGTGTAAAAATAGAAAAAGTCTACTTGATGCTTACTTTAGTTCAGTTTGTTTCATTGGCAAAATAATCAATAATAATAATAATAATAATAATAATAATTTCTATATGATCGCTACAAGATGCACATGGGAAAAATAATAAAGCTGCACAAATAAACCATTAAACATATATATCACTAAATCTTTACAAGAAAGAAGGTTGATGTCTTTATCCCTTTTTCAAGATGACCCAATGAAGATTTAGGGAGACAGACACAGGCTCAAATTTGCAAGGCTGGTGTACAACACAGTGGTCTCTGGGCCCCAAATGCATGACCTCTGCTGTCACTCTGCCCTTAAAGTGTCTCCCTCATAGTGATCAGGTTGATGATATGGTACCAATAGCTAATACTTGTAAAATATTTCATCATTATCAGTGTTTCATCTGAGCTTTACCAATCCACAGTGTGAACAGGGCAAGTGGCATTTTAAGTAGGTAGGCATCATCTGGGGTAGCCAAAGCTCAGTGCTCTTCACCCCAGAACACGGGGCCACTGGATTTCGCCATGAGTTCAGGGTACCATGTGCTCAACCAGCACTTTGTCAGGCATTCTCAGCAACCGTCACGCCGCCTCCTCCATTCGCCCAATCCATACTCAGTGGATCAGGAGTCCTGTGCAGATTGCTCTGTTTTCTTCCATCTGTCTTTTTCCTTCCATTTCTAACAATGCTTTTCTAATTTGGGCAGACCCTCTTCCTTTCAGATGTAGATTATAATAAACTTCTCATAGGCCCCAAAGCCTCAGATCTCTTCCCAGCCAGACCTTGGTTCCCATTGAGACCAATTTCATCTTGCTGAAACTCATACCATTACCATTCCTCTGTACAAAACTCAAAACCATGAACAGCAAATTTTACCATCATCCAGATGTTAGGCACATTTCACTACCCCCAATCAAGGCAAGAAAGAAAAAGCAAACAGAATATTGCTTAATCTACTCTGATGGTGTAATGGTAGAAAACCTATAAAGTCGTTTTCTAATTAAGAACGATATTTATTAATGTTATTCAATAAATATTGCAATTATTTTCTTAAAAATACAATGGCCAGTCCAATTGCAGAATAAGGAGAGAGAAAAAGAGAGAGAAAGAAATAGAACAAAGAGGGAGGCACAGAGAGAATGAGTCTTATGAGAACAAACCAAAGACAGGCCAAGGAGTAAGACAAGGACATTCCAAGAAATTAAGGGAGAAAAATGAAAGAGCATAATATCCAAAGAGGAAATAAAGAGACAATACAGAAAAAAGAGAGAGAGAGAAAGGAGACAAGAGAAATCCAGTAGCATCTCTGCTCTGGACAAATCACTTCTATGACATCCCAGTACCCATTTGAATGGTTGGGAAAACTACAGCCTAGATTCAAGGGTTAAACCCTCAGAGAAGTTTCTCATTTATAGTAGTAGGAGCCAGACTCTATGTTAATTTTCCTCTTATTTTAGGATTTTCAGTGCTACATAGCTTGAAACTTTATTCCCCTCCACAGTCCAGGCAGAAATAACAAGCTCCATTAGAAGATGGATTTTTATCCTCACTCGTATACCTCTTTCAGGATCCAGGATTTACATTTGGGGTTTCAGTTGCAAATTCCCACCTTACATCTCCTGTTCCTACATAGGTAGTGAAATGCAACCCGCTTAGGGCAACCACAGTATTAGCTCATTTACATAGCATTCTGGTTTTTTACTTTTCTTTTATTCAGTTTTATTGAAAGTATCCCTTTTTTATTCTAAGACCTACATTTAAAAGAACATTGGTTATGATTGTAGCATATTTTATGGGAAGGTTTCCAAGTATCTATTTCACAATATTGTCATTGTAATTCATTGGAAAAGCTTTTACTGAGTGAAAATGACGCGTCTCTAACACTGTTCTCTAGTGGGGCTCTGGTCTACTCTTGTATGATATTAGGTTGCCATGTGAACTAACAGTTTTTATTTCAGAAACATCAGGGCTAAGACAAAGATCACATCCAAACTTTGTTTTTATTTTATTTTTTGTTAAGATAAATTTTTCTTAGGAACTTTAACTTCTGCACATAACCCTCTTGGGCACAGTAATTTAATTACTGAGAAAACCCTGCTTTTCTTTTATTATCTTGACAGATATCTAAGTTAAACACAAAATAAGTTGTTTGAAGTCTTATTTTAATCCAATTTGAATGTTTTCCACAATGCATTCTTCATACAGAATTTCAGAATGAAGTTGTCAATGGCCTTAGTAAAATTCCATTGTAAACCAAGTTCTCACGTGAAAAAGACAGCAATACTTGACAAGGTAGAGGAAACTGAATAGCAACCAAAATAGCTCGCTTCTCATTTAGCACCAGGCATCTCTAGTGACTGAGACTCAATAGAGGGGAAAAGTCAATAAATTAAGTTTGGAACCCATGAATTAAGTAAACAGTCACAGTACTTCCCCCAACAGCACATCTACAAATATACATTTTAATAAAATAAATTTGAAAAGCCCTCCCTTGACTTATTTTCTTTTTTGCTATCTAAGCTGAAAAGAGTTGAGGATCAAGGAAGGGTCCAGTGAATGAGCCAAGCAGCTCAGTGTCCACGTGTGAATTTTCTGTTTAACATTCTCTTGCATGGTATCTTGACTATTCACCCTTTCCTTACCTTGGCTACGATCCCTAAAATTGCATATGCATGAAGAATAAATGCAAAAGTACAAAAAAAAAAAAAACCACAGAAAGCCAAAATTGCCATATTTTTTTCCACCTGGTTTGTCTTTCAATGCAGAAAGGATCTATAAGTAAAAAGAGTGAGTGCACATCTGCCAAACTGTATCTTTCTTCCCTGGCATTGCTTATCTACTCCTCAACCTAATATAGCACACCCTGGTTTTTGTCATTTTAGGGGAGGTCCTTTTTGCTTTCCTGTGGGAAGTCACTTTAAACATCTATCATATACTTGACGTGAATAATACAAAGGAAAACATGGAAACAAAAGTATCCCTCCCCTTCTTCTATGGGTTAAAGTTACTCTGATGTGTATATTTGGTGCTTTATTTTAAATGAACTCACACTGTAAAAATTTCAACTTCATGTATAACATAGATTTCACTTTAGATAAAGAAACCACTTTAAAGATTTTCTGATTGGAGCAAATCATAATATAGAATCTCTGGAGGTTGTCACACTGCAGTTTAAGAACTACTTGTTCAAAAAAAATTTTTTTGAGAACCTATCACTCACCCATTCATTCAAGAAATGTGTGTTGAACATCTTCATACCTGCCCATTACTAGGTGCTGAGGATATAATAGGAAACAAGAGAACCATAGCCTCTTAACTCCCAGGTCACTCAGACTTTGGGCATATACAGATAAATGAACAGACAAACATAAAATAAATGTGACAAGTCATCTGCATCTTTCCCAGCCCAGGTTCAGGAAAAGCTTCTTTGAAAATATGATTTTCTAGCTAGAATTTGAGAACAGTATCAGGATAGTCTGGTGAAAGTGTATTCCTAGGGGAAGACTCATGAGCACATGGCTCTGTGGCTGTAATGCATCCATGAGACTGAAAGTTTGTATGTGGCAGGGACCTGGACGTCACACGAGGGAGTAACAAAGAGGAGTTAGGAAAGATGGACAAGGCC